AACTTCAGAACTTTCCATCAGGTTCAACTGAAATATTCGTAGCCGGTATTTTAGACCGTTATGTTCAAAGATAAGATCAGTTAGAAACTCTTTGTTTACCTGATATTGCATCTAGGTATAAATATTTTAAATCTAGTAGAAGAGCACAAGACAGTGATCATGAAGAAGAAGAGAGGGAAGACGATAATTTACCAGAAAGCGGGGTTTTCATGCCTCTTAAAGACGGTAGTGGTTTTGTTAAAAAACGTACCAAACCTTGTATAATTCGGTATTGAAGGTTTAACCCAGATTTGACCAGTGTTAAGTATTAAAAACGAAATGGGAATGCTTTACTATCCATGGTGGAAAGAACAGCAAGATCTCATTGAAAATGATAATGAGCAGACTTTCATAACACATCGTATTATAATTGAGGAAAATCACAGAAAATATGATGTTTTTGAGCAAAGAGACCTTGAAAATGTTCTAGAAAGTCTTTATAATGAAATAGACTTGGACGAAGGTGCTCAAAATGAACTACCTATCGTGGAAAGTGAGTTCAGAGTATTGGCACCTCCAGAAATAAACCCAAATATAAATTTGCTGGACTTCCATGGTGAAGATTCAACAGATAATGGCACTGAATCTGATTGCAATATTAGACTTATTAAACTAACCCCTTTAATTCCAGTTGAGGAATTATTTTCTTTAGTTCAAAGTCTAAATACTAAGTGGCTAAATGAGTTCAGCTTCCCGCCCTAATGCAGTCAACAACACCGCACAACACACTACTCATACGACAACACAACACACCACTTACAGGACAACACTGGCACACTACATCTGGAAACATCAGCACACCCACACCCCACGCACCAAGGCAACCTTGCTGGAAGCAGCAGCATACACCCACATACAGCAGAATAACTCTACACACCAACATGAACAAAACCAGGGAGGGCGATCGAGCCGACTCTCTTTTCCATCGAAATCGTCAACAGGGAAGTCGCAATTGAAGTTTCGCCTTTTTTCCACGGTCGCACATCCCGATTATAACCTTTTATTCCTCAAGTGACTATGTTTATTTTGCCTATCTGGTTTGTAGAGTCCTTTCCTCTTTGTTCCAGATTTTGCTGTAGTAATTGGTGTAATCTCCGTGCCTATTTGTTTGGATGTTAGTTTTTATTTTAGCTCGCGCCCGTTTAGGTTTATTGTTAATATTGTTGTTATTTTCGCGCCCGCTTATATGGTTTATTTTGTTTGACTTCGCGCCCGATTTTATTTTATTTATTATTTTTTTTTCTTCACTTTATTTGTGTGCTTTTTTAAGTATATATTAAATATGTATGTGTGTTTCCAAAGAAAATAAAATTTTATAAAAACGGGGTTTTGTTTTTTTTTTTTCTTCACAAAGTTAACAGACTTTTGTTGCCGACCAAACGCACGAAACTTTTCACCGGTACATATGTATATCCATAATTCAGTTACTTTCAATAACTGCACTTGTCATATGTAAATATATGTATTTTTTATAAATGCACTTTCGTTTATACACTTCCCGCCGGTGTTTATTTTCCGGTACCTGTTTTTTTTTTTTGTTTCACTGCCCTTTTATCACTTTATATACACGTCTCTTTATCTAATTTATTGGTTTTGTCACTGTTTCACTGCACTTTGGTCACATATGTATTTTTCCTTTTTTTTTGTTTTTTATAAATCGATAGTGCCTTTCTTTTAGGCTCGAAGGACCATAGTTATTTTTGTACCTTTGTTCTCACCTTCTCCAGCTTTTCGTTCCACTAAACACTCACGTATTTGTAAAAACTGAAATTTATTTATAAATATGTTGATATCTTATCAACAAACCAAAAAAGAACTTATAACGTCACTTGAGGAATAAAAGGTTATAATCGGGATGTGCGACCGTGAAAAAAAGGCGAAACTTCAATTGCGACTTCCCTGTTGACGATTTCGATGGAAAAAAGGGTCGGCTCGATCGCCCTCTCTGGTTTTGTTCATGTTGGTGTGTAGAGTTATTCTGCTGTGTGTGGGTGTATGCTGCTGCTTCCAGCAAGGTTGCCTTGGTGCGTGGGGTGTGGGTGTGCTGATGTTTCCAGATGTGGTGTGCCAGTGTTGTCCTGTAAGTGGTGTGTTACGCTGTCATGTGAGTGGTGTGTTGTGTTGTCGTATGAGTAGTGTGTTGTGCGGTGTTGTTGACTGCATTAGGGCGGGAAGCTGAACTCATTTAGCCACGAGGCAATACGACCGAATGGACACTGACTTGAAATTATTTAAAGCACTCCCACGGTTCGATGGAACCAAAAACAAATATAGATCCTGGAGATCACAGATATGGACCTTTATAAATGATATACAGTACTACAGTGCACAGTACGCACAAAAGTAACGGGAGCAGCAGCATATGTCCTAACCAATCACAACACGAAGATGAACTTATATTCGATCATAAATAGATTAGATTAGACTTTCGATTACTAGAGAACACTGTACGTCCTTTTACAGGAAATGAAAAATATCGTACAAGGAAGAAAAACTCTAACTGAATTCCACAGGGAAGTAAGCAAAGCACTTAATTTGGCATTATCAAAGATTGAGGTGTGCGAAAATCAAAACAATGCTTCAATGAAGAACTATGTGATTCAGGAAGCAGTAAGGACATTTATCTTAGTGTTAAATAGCAAATATACAAGTGGGACATTGTATAGTCATTACCACAAGGATTTGGAAACAGCTTACGCAGTAGCTTATACTTTTCACCACGACAATGTTAATCACCAATGTACGTTCTAACCTTCCAAAGCAGCAAAGATTCTATCCACCTGACGATAAAAGAAAATATAATCCTGGAATTCAAATGCAGCGAAATATCCAGGAGCAAGCAACCAATCAGTGTGCACAACGCCCTGACAGTTGACAGTTCGCAGCAGTACCAGAGGCCGACATATTCATCAATCAAACCGCACAAGCAGATTACGAAGGATATTTTAAGACATGGAATACTTTTTTAGGCGAGTGAATGCGTTGCCTTACATCGAAACAAAATGTGGATTAACCGTCACACCTGTTACAATTTTAGTGGACACAGGATCCACTAATAATTATACAAGCAATATAAGTATGTAGAATCGGTAAGTCAATTAATCCTTTCGATGCAAAAGCTTTACATGACTTTTCAGTCATTAATTCAAAAAAAGTGATTGCGACATATGGGTATGATTTAGCATATTATGAAGTAGATAAACTAAATGAATTTGATATGATATTAGCAGAACAAGAACTCTTAAGGCAGAAGTGAATTTATTCGATTATAGTTTAAAGTACTAGAAGAAAGTGATTCATAACGTAGAACCAAAAATAAATTTCATTTTCACACTTTTAATAATCCTTTATATGAAGAAGATATAAGAAATTTAATGATAAAAAAACTTTCAAATAAATGAAATTCTTACTTTGTGAATAAAGAAATTAGTGATTTGTTAAAAACAGGAATTATTAAACCAAGTAAAAAAGAGAATGGCAGTTGATTTCCATTAATGCTTAAACAATCACAGATAGATATCCAATATCTGATCTAGTCGATGTACTAATATTTTCTTCTTCATTTCAACTATAATATATGCACTACATGAACGAGGCATACTGAATGTACTGTAAAAAATAGCTCTTCAGGAACAAATAAAACTCTTTCAACCAGATTTCTCCAAACCATTTTATTTAACCACTGATGCAAGTAATTTTGCTATTGGGGCAGTACTGTCTCAAAATCAACAATCAATTGCCTTCATTTCAAAAATGTTAAACTATACTGAACAAAATTATAGCGCAAATGAAAAATAACTGTTCGCTATAGTTTGGTCACTTCGAAAGTTACGAAACTATGGGGTGGCAAATTTAAGTATTTACACAGACCATCAGTCATATAAATATCAAGGAAATAATCGTTAACTCAAAATCACGGTCGAATACGTACATATATTTATTAATGGGTAGACTATTTTTATACTCTCACAACTTGTTGCTACAGAGTATAATAGTTTTGTTCACCTAACGGTTGTTTGTATCACCTAAAACTAATCGAGTTAGATATAGGGTTATATTATATATATGATTACAATATATATAAATGATAAGGATAAAGAGACAAGTTAAAATCCAGGTGATTGTCTGTCCGTCCGTCCGTCTGTGCAAGCTGTAACTTGAGTAAAAATTGAGACATCTTTATGAAACTTGGTATTATAAGGCGGTTGGAATTGCAGATGGGCGTAATAGGACCCCTGCCACGCCCACAAAACGCCATTAATCAAAAACAAATAAATTGCCATAACTAAGCTCCACAACAAGATACAAGACTCTTATTTGGTATACAGGATCAAATTAGGGAGAAGCATCTGCAGTTAAATTTTTTTTTTAAAGTGAGCACGGTCCCGTCCCCTAATAAGTTTAAAGTGCAATTCTCCTAAACCGCTAAAGTTATAAAAACAAAATTCACTAGGAACAAATGTTTTTAGCATCTCTATCGACGGTGTGAAAATGGGTGAAATCGGGTGACAACCCCGCCCACTCCCCATATAACGGTACTGTGCTGTCGGTACCAAGCACTAAACAAGTCAGAGACATTAAATTTTATCTCTGGGATGGTATAAGATGATTTTATAGGAACCACGTTCAAAATTAGATAGTCGGCGTGGCACCGCCCATTTTTAGGTGAAAACCCATATCTTGGGATCTGCTTAACCGATTTCAACCAAATTCGGTATATAATATTCCACTCATATTTTTATGTTATAGTACAAAAATGGATTACAACCACGCCTATTTCCCATATAACATCATTTTAAATTCCATCTGATTCTTTCACTTTCCACATATCAAGCAACAATGGTTGTAATGGCGTAAGGCTTTGCGTTAATAATACGTTTAAAGTATGAAACCTTGTGACCAAAAATTATCTAAATTGAACCAAAACTGTTCAAGCCCCTAGGTACAGAATACATGGACCCCAGTGCCTATAGTTGACTTTTTACGGAAAATATCGGTCAACAAAAGGGAACAACTGATTTCTGCGTTGCAACTACGAGCGTAATTTTGACAAATTTGGTTTGATATGGCCGGTAAGTACCGATAGGAGGAATGTCGGTGACTGTTTGAAGCATTAGTATTGCCATCAGCCAAGAAGGTAGATAATACTTTAATATAATAAATATTATTTATTATTTAACTCGCGCTAACCTCATTGATGACCTATCAGTCTCTCACAGATCTACAAAAAAAATTTTTTTGCGTAATGGTTTTACCTAATACATTCTGGTTATATAAGCAAATATATATGAGTAGGGACGATGACAAATCGAAAATATTTGCATCAGCAATTATAGCGATTTAACCATTTTCGATTTTCGTGTCCATATAATGTTCGCGGGCCATTGCAGTCAAAAGAGAAGGAAGAGCACGGGAGATAGTGTCGCTTACATCGCTCGTTGCGTAAGACAGTATATGTTTATATATTGCAAAGGAATAATTCACAATTTTGTTTCCTGTAACAACTAGTACAAAATGTCTTCGAGAAGTTGTAAACGAGACCCTGACTCGATTCGCTATATTTGTGGCAAATTTTTTGAAATGATGATTTAAGTAAAAGATTTGCGAAGCATAACAAGCTGACTTCAATCTACCTGTTAAAAATCCGGACAAAAATGGGTCCACATGTGTCATCTAACTCTTGCAGATATGTTCTAGATGGTGAGTATATTTTATCTTTTTTCTTAAATAATTATTAACTGTCATCAAATCAATTAAGTTATAATATGTTACGTTTTCTTGTGGGCTGGTAACGAGGTGAAAAAAGAGCAATGAAGTTTTGGAGGGAACCTAGAGATCATCATTTAAATATTTGAAGAATTTTTTTCCAAAGCTCTCAGAGGCAAAAATAAAACTTGGAATCTTTGTAGGCTATCAATTAAAAAATAATATTGTGATATTTTGACGAAGTTACTTAGCAATGAAGAGAAAAAAGCCTTGAACAGTTTTAAGGCAGTAATGCATGGTTTCCTTGGAAATATATTCGGAAAAACAAGGAGAATGCTTCCATCAAGATATAATGGTATTTTAGAGACGTTATCAAGTATACAGTATTGGGGACTATATTTGGGGGTCAATAAGGAAACTTATACGGAACATGACAGGAAAAGTAATACTGTTCTTTTTTAAACTGTTTAATTAACTGCCAAATCCTTAGTTTCTAGATTAATATCACCAATGACATTTCGACTGAAAATACGTGAAATTCGTAATACAAAAAAAAATTTGATCTGAAGTGGAATTGCTTTAACTTCAATTGAGCAAAGTGGACAATTTTAAGAATATAGCAATATTGTGATTTGTATAAAATAGCGTAATTTGTAATTTTTGTAATTACGCGCAACCGAACCGATTGAAATTGACCGAAATGAGACTGAATTTACTAATTGAAATATTAAATTAATATAACTTGAGTTTAATTGCAGAAGGCAACAACAACTTGCCTCTTCCTATTGTTCTAGACGCTGACATCAGCACTTAGCATTCTACCGGATGCGCGTGCAGTTGGTTTCTTGATTCTTTGAATTAGTGCAACTTCGATTGAAAAACAGGAAATGTGAAATAATATTAGTCAGCAATTAAAATTTCACCTGTGGGAATTTTTATTGCGGAGTAAGAATGTAAATATGTAATTTGTTATATTTCAGCGGAAACAAAAGGTAAGCAAGTTATTGTGGCGATTGCCGAAAATATGTAAGTATGTAATTTTAAAGCAAAGGCAAAATGATAGGTAATTTATTATGTGTTAACTCCTCCGCCCTTAAAATCAAGCGTCCTCGATCGATGAGTTAACGTAAAATTTTGGTACGTCTTCTACTCCTATTTCTATCGTGTTTCGGTTGGGTAATTTCTCTTTATTTATTTTTCGTAAAAATCTTAATTTTAACATTGTACTACTATAATAATTCCTATGGAGATTACATTAATAGCGAAATATAATTGATTACGGTTTTTTAATATTCCTAGTTTTCTTAGTTCATTTGTTTGCAACTCTTTAATTGACTTTAATGATAACATTTCTTCAATTTTCTTATGTTCGGCCATAGGCTGTAAAATAGCAGGCAAGGGGTTTTTCCCTGTTATGTCTTTAGAAAAGTAAAACTTATTACCTACTTCTATAGTTGTATTAACATGTTTTATTAAGTATGTTCCATTAATTTCTATACTTTCATTTTCGAATTTAACAAAACCTTGGTATTGGTTTAAAAAGATTAAATCATTTGACATTTCTTCTATAGTTTTTATATGCTGATTATTTATTTTTGTACAATTATCTAATTTACTTTTAAGCAGATGTGCTATGCATGTGCCGTTTGTAATATTTTCTACTGAATCTTTTGAACATATTGATAAATTATTATATGATTTACAATTTTTAGTTTTTCCATATATTTCGTTCTTACATACTAGTATAGATTCATATTCGATTTTATTTATGAATTTTCCTTTCTTTATTGGCCTAATTTCTAATGATTTGCAATCTTCTATTCTTGTTTTAGGTAAGTTTATTATGTAAATTAAGCTCTCTTTATTAGAGGCGATTTTTATATCGGCGAATTCTAGTGCTTCGTCAATATTTATAAAAGGAATATTTTCATCTTCTAAGAATTTCCTTGTTATTTCCATTTCTTTATCAGATAGAATATACGAATTTATTATGTTTGATTTTGTCCAATGAATGGCATAAACAATGTTTATTAATTCCTCTTTTATTGTTTCTAGTTTAAACTTTGTTTCTAGTAGTAATTCATTATCAATTTCTTTCTTTTCTTGAACTAGTTTAGATATTTTATTAGTATTCTCTATTACCTCATTAATTTTTTCATTGGTTAATTTATTTATTATTACTTGCCTATTATTATTCTCTAAAACGTTATTTATTTTCTCGAGTATTATATTAAAGTCGCTATGGTCCGGATTTCCCGCGATCCATTTCCATGCGGATCCTATAAAATCTAATGATGTTTTGCTATGTGCTTTGTTTACACTAACTCTACGTAGATAATTTTTTGATTGATTGACGAGGGATAGAAGGATGGGTTTTAAGGGATGATTTCGGAGCTGTTCGTTAATTGTCGTCTCTAAGCGTCTGATAGTATTGTCATAGTCTTCTAATTCTATTATATGTATGATTTTAAAATTTCCTATTTGTAGTTTTGCTGGTCCTGAATCAATTGTCACGAGTTGGGATGGTTGGGATGGTAGTCCAGAAGTTGTACGTTTGCTGAGGTTATCGTTATGATCGCAATCAATCTAAAAATTTCATAGTAAAAATAATACAATAATGTGCAATATTCATTATTTTGATTATTTTGACTATTTTTTCTTATTTTATGTCTTTTTTTTCTTACTTTCTACGTTATGCTTATTCAATATTTCTTTTCCCCTTTTTTTGCTTCGAAAGGAAAAATGGAAAAAAAAAATCTTGAATTGTTTTAAAAAATGGAATCAAAAATTATTGTTATTATTTTTTTCTTTTTTTTTTTCTTTTGTTAATTTTTTTATTTTATGAGGCTTTTGTGAACCACTTTACCCGATTCTGTTAGGACTGTTGATGAGTTATTTTCTTTGACTATTTCTTTTTTGTAGCGAGGTGTAAGCTTAGTTCCATATCTCTTGTTAATTTTTACGTAGATGGTCTGTCCAGATTTGTAGTTCTTACAGGGTGTCTTGTTTTTGTTATGGTGTTCTAAGTCTTTTTCCTGCTTCAGTTTTAGTCTTTGTATATTATTTTGTCTAGCTGCTTCATACTGTTCGGGGTTAATGTAGACTTTGCGTCCAAAAAAGTTCTCTATTGGTTTCAGTCCAGTTGTAGAGTGGATTGAAAAGTTGTATTCATAAACGGCTCTGTCAAGCAATTCCTGAAAGGTCCTGTCAATTTTTTCGTTTTTTAAACATCTTAGAATTTCTGCAAGGGTTGAATGGAAGCGTTCAACCTGTCCATTTGCAGTATGAGTGTGTGGTGGGGTTTTCTAAATTTTTATTCTTAACTGGTCCTCGACCATGAAAGCTATTGAGTGCGAATTGAGGGATTTTTCATTGTCAATTATAATCATTTGGGGTATTCCAAATGTAAAGAGAATTTGCCTTAGTGGTTCACGAATGTTTTCTGTTGATTTTGATTTAATAACTCTCGCTTGTGCGTATTTTGAATATTTATCTATGGCTGTTAGCACTAGATTTTTTTCTGCTATGAAAATGTCAATGTGGACGATTTGTCCTGGGTACTCTGGAATAGGTGTTTTTCGTATTTCTGGTTTATTAGGGTGCCTATCGTATTTATTTTCTGCACAAATTTTACACTGTTTCACGATTTTGTTAATTTTTGACTGCATTTGTGGGAAATAAAATTTTTGAATAATTTGTTTTTTGTTCTCTATTGCGTTCCTATGTGCTCTTTTATGTTCGACTAAAATTTGATGTTCCTGTTGTTCGATTGTGTTTAAGTCCTTGACTTGTGACTGTGTGAATCTAATTTTGAAATTGCTAAAGTGAATAGGGTATAGTTCTTGGATTTGACCCATTATTTTTTCAGAGGTAAATAAGCCGTTGATGACAGAGGGATTTAGATGCTGTTTGAGTAAGTCTTGTAGATCGTCCATGGAGTACTGTGGTCTGGTAATTGTATGTCTGTGGTATGTTGGAAAGGGAATTTTGAAGTCTTTTGAATTTTCTTGGCCAACCATTATCCAAATTTGATTTTTGAAGACGTTGATCGGGGCTTCCGTTGTTGGTATTAAGTTGTGTCCTGAGCTTTCATCTGAATGAGTCGCTATTGTTACTGTATTGAGTTCTGGTGGTCGGGAAAGAGTGTCGGCTACAACGTTAGTTCTACCTGGCTTATATTTGAGTTCGTGGTCATATTCTTCTAAAATTGCCTTCCATCTTTTCAGTTTTGAGTTGTCGTTTTTATTGCTGAGGGCGTAGGTCAAGGGCTGGTGGTCTGTGAATAATTTTATTTTGGCAGTCCCATATAAGTAGTTTCTGAGAGATTTTAATGCCCAGATGATGGCGAGCATCTCTTTTTCGTTCGTTGCGTAATGTTCTTCTGTCTTTGTTAGGGTCCTTGAAATGAAAGTGATTGGCTTACCATCCTGTTCCAAAACTGCACCGATAGCATGTTTTGAAGCGTCTGTGGTCAAATGAAATTCTTTTTGGTAATTTGGGTAAGTTAATATCACTTCTCTTGATATCAGTGAATTTTTTACTTGATTGAAAGCTTCGATGGCTTCCTTGTTCAATTGGATGAGCCCATTTTTTGATTGGTTTTTAGAAATTCTTCCTGCTTCTCCTCTCAGGAGATTAGTGAGGGGTTTGGTTATTTTGGCATAATCTTTTATGAATCTTCTGTAATAACCAGAGAGACCAAGAAATGATCTCAAATCTTTTAGTGTTTTTGGGCTTGGAAAGTCTACTATTGCTTGAACTTTTGTGGGATTTGTGGTAATACCTTCGGATGAAACTAGGAATCCTAGAAATTCTATTTCTTTTTTGAAAAATTCGCACTTGTCTATTTGTATTTTCATGTTAGCTTCCCTTAAGGTTTCAAAAACTTCACGGATGTTCTGGGCGTGTGTTTCCTCGTCCTTGCTGAATATGATTATATCGTCTATATAAACATAACAGATCTTTCCTATAAGTTTTCTTAGGATATCATCTAA